AAATAATTCGAACAGCCCAGACCCGGACTCGAATCCAGATCATTTGGTTACGCGCCAAAGGCTCTACCAGTTAAGCTATCTGAGACACTATCTGTAACAACTTATTGTCACCTAATAAGACCCACCGAGTAATAAACGCCACCGTCCATCGTACGGTAAAGATCATCATATCTTTAATTATATCTCATATTTTGTTCGAAAAAATCATACTATGTAGTACCGTTTATGTACGCCAATTTTATCACCAACTTCAGATTATATATAATAAAAAATGAAACTCACCACCGTTGCTACGATACCTATTTATTCATTACGTTTTTGGTACGCCTAGAGACTACACGTATCACATAAATATTTTATTTTATTTTATTCCTGTCGATTAATTATAATAATGTAATAAATATGAGTAAACGTCGTAATGGTGAATCTGCTGAGAAAATGCAGTTTTATGCTGAGAAGTTGAAGAAATATCAAAAATTATTGGATGAAGTTAAAGATCTTTCAGATGAAAAGGATTCTGATGTTGAATCTCACATTGGCAAAGGTAATTAATATAAAGAATAATAAATAAATAAGTATTCAAATAAATAAATATCGGGCAATTTATTTAAATTGCGCCATCTGACTCAGTCGTTTGACTAGAGTCATTTAAATTTATTTTTCATGGACAATGTGATTTTTATCATTATTGTACCTAATGACTGGGTTATATAGTTGTTTATAACCTAGATCTTTTGCTCTGTAGGCTCAGATAATGATGATCTGGAGTCTTTGAGCTCTAATGGTGAAGTAAATTCACAAACGACATCTCGCGAGCTACAAGAGACGAAGGTTGACGTAGAGGAGCCGCCTACACAACTCAGTGAGAAGGCTTCGTTGTTGCTTGGTGTTGCCAAGCGTCAACTAAAGGATCAGACCTTTAATTTTCATCCAGAATTAGCAGCCTGCTGGAATGAAATTCTGGACTCTGGTTTGGATGCGAAGATCAAAAAATCTTTTGAGGAAACTTACCCGAATAAAGGTGATTGTTCTTTGATTGCCCCGGAATTGAATCCAGAGTTACTTCCTTTTCTTCACAAGACTGCTAAGAGTCGGGACAAATACCTGGTCTCAAGTCAAGGATCTTTGTGGCCGAGGTTTAGTCGCACTCGGAAAATCTATTTGTGCAATTTTCGATGATGAGAAGGAACCTATCGAAAAAGACGTTTTATTGGAGTGGTTGTGTGACTCCAATCAGATGTTTTGTGAGCTGATGCACCAGCTTTCTAAGACTCGTAAACATCAAGTCTATTCCTATGTAGATGATAAGAGGAAGACTGTACTTGTGGACTCGAAGACTGACAAGTTTCTCTTCGGTGAGGATCTTGGAAAGAGGATCAAATCAGCTACAATGGTGAAGAAAGTAGGATTGTCTTTGAAAACAACCCCTGACAAGGCTGATTCGTCGAAATCTCGTAATTTTTTAAACTGGAAGAGCTCGACTGTGACTCAGAGCGGATGCCAACAGTCGAGCTTCAATCAAAAAACTTTGAACAAATTTCCTCGCTCCAACCGTGCTCCAGTTCAACAGAATTCAACTCGTTCTTCTACGAGATCTCAGAGCCGTCTGAATCAATTCAACAATCCATCAACGAAGTAGAGGTGAGAATTGCTGGTCGATTAAGATTTTTTTGCCCAAGCTTGGTCTTCAATTACTTCGGATAATTTCATTTTATCGACTATTTCTGGTTATAAAATTCCTTTCGCATCTACTCCGGTTCAATCCTTCGAACCTCCGGAATTTTCAGTTTCTGTTGCTGAAGATGGGGCAATGTCTGAAGCAATTTGTCATTTGTTAAATATAGGAGCGGTTCGAAAATGTAAATATAGTACAGTTTGTTTCAAGTATTTTCCTGGTTCCTAAGAGTAATGGGAAAATGCGTTTAATATTAAATCTTAAAAAACTAAATACTTTTATTGATCTAGTACATTTTATGATCGAAGATATTTGGACAGTCTTGAAGCTCATGGTGAAAGGAAACTACATGGCCAGTATTGATCAGCAGGATACTTATTTAACTATCCCAATTCATAAAGATTATTAAAAATATTTAAGATTTCGATGGAAAGGACAATTGTATAAGTATATGTGTATACCTTTCGGCTTGTGTACAGGGCCTTGGTTATTTACTAAGATTACAAAACCTATTATCAACTATTTGAGAAGTTTGGAATGGGTTTCAGTTGTATATTTAGACGATTGGTGGTTGACTGCTGAGACAAAGGAAAGATGCAATGAAAATGTTGCTGTCACTAGAAAAATCTTGGAATCTTTAGGATTTGTTATAAATGTTGACAAGAGCGATTTATTTCCATCAACTACTTGTCAATTTTTAGGATTTATTTTAGATTCTAGTGCAATGACTTTAGAATTAACTCGAAAAAAGAGGAAACACATTTTAGAATTGGTTAAGAAATTTAAAACAATTAATACCTGTTTAATTAGAGATTTTGCCTGTTTCGTAGGTAATATTATTGCAGTTTGCCCAGCTGTTAATTATGGCTGGTTCCATTCTAAATTATTTGAACGTCAGAGGTATTTATCTTTACTTCATTCTCACGATAATTATGACGCAAATATGTGATTAGATCAATCTTTAAAAAGGATTTTGAATGGTGGGAAGAAAATATTTTAACTGCTAAAAACCTAATTCGTCAACATGAATATAGAATAACGATTTTTTCTGACGCTTCATTAACGGACTGGGGAGCTTCGTGTAATGATAAAGTTGTTTTTGGTCAATGGGGTTTGAGGAAAAGTTCTTTTCATATTAATTGTTTGGAGTTAATTGCAGCATTTAATGGTTTAAAAGCTTTTGCTTCTCATTTATCAGAATGCGAGATTTTATTGAAAATAGACAACTCAACAGCTATCTCTTACATCAATAGAATGGGCGGAAATAAATATCAAAATTTAAATAATGTTGCTCGCGATATATGGTCCGAGTGTGAGCAAAGAAACCTTTGGTTATTTGCAACATATATGCCATCAAAAGAAAATGTAGTAGCTGATTCAGCTTCTAGAATTAATAATATTGATACTGAGTGGGAAGTGGCCCCTTGGGCTTTTAGACAAATTTCTAATCTATTTGGTCAGCCGCAAATAGATTTATTTGCATCTGTAAATAATGAGAAATGTAGTGATTATTGTTCGTGGCATAGAGACCCGGAGGCTTTTTGTATAGATACTTTTACTGTTAAGTGGGATACTTTTTATTTTTATGCGTTCCCACCTTTTTCCTTGATTTTAAAGACTCTTAGAAAAATTAAAGTAGACCAAGCTTGCGGTGGTGCCGCGACAAAATATCCGCGGACAAAATAACCGCGACAAAATAACCGGACGACAAAATAACCACGGACAAAATAACCGCGACAAAATAACCGGACGACAAAATAACCGGACGACAAAATAACCGGACGACAAAATAACCGCGGACAAAATAACCGCGACAAAATAACCGCAGATAAAATAACCGCGGACAAAATAACCGCAGATAAAATAACCATGTGACATTACAACCAAGTTACAAAATAACCGAACGACAAAATATTTTAGAAAAAAATATTCTTTAATAAACACACAAAAAATCCATAATAGAAAAGGCACAACATGGCAACAATCTCATGTGTTGATCTAATGTCGAATAAATGCACACATAAACCATGTTAAAAGGGCACAACACGATTATCCGCGTTTGTGTTGATCTAACGTCGAATAAATACACACAAAAATCATGCTAAAAGGGCAAAACACGATTATCCGCGTTTGTCTTGATCTAATGTCAATTAAACACACATAAACACCATGTTAAAAGGGCACAACACGATTATCCGCGTTTGTGTTGGTCTAATGTCGAATAAATACACACAAAAACCATGTTAAAAGGGCACAACACGATTACCTGCGTTTGTGTTGATCTAATGTCGAATAAATACACACAAAAACCATGTTAAAAGGGCACAACACGATTACCCGCGTTTGTGTTGATCTAATGTCAATTAAATCCACATAAACACCATGTTAAAAGAGCACAACTCAGCAAAAATATTATGTTTCGGCCTTTTTACAAATAAACATACACAAAATCCATGAAAAAAAAGGCACACTACAATTTCTAATTTATGTATCTTTTAAAAATTCGCGGGTGATGATGTTAGATTATTTTGTAACGTGGTTGTAATGTCACATGGTTATTTTATCTGTGGTTATTTTGTCCGCGGTTATTTTGTCATCCGGTTATTTTGTCGTCCGGTTATTTTGTCGTCCGGTTATTTTGTCGTCCGGTTATTTTGTCGTCCGGTTATTTTGTCGTCCGGTTATTTTGTCGTCCGGTTATTTTGTCGTCCGGTTATTTTGTCGTCCGGTTATTTTGTCGTCCGGTTATTTTGTCGTCCGGTTATTTTGTCGTCCGGTTATTTTGTCGTCCGGTTATTTTGTCGTCCGGTTATTTTATCTGCGGTTATTTTGTCGCGGTTATTTTGTCGCGGTTATTTTGTCGCGGTTATTTTGTCGCGGTTATTTTGTCGCGGTTATTTTGTCCACGGTTATTTTGTTATGGCACCGTTTTCAAACCGAACGAACAATGGGTAATGGAATGGTTAGGAATTAAATTTGAGCAGGGTGCCTCGTATATCTCATTAAATACTTATCGATCGGCTTTGTCCTTTTTATGTGGGGAATATATAGGTAAAAGTCCAATGATTTGTCGATTATTAAAAGGAATTTATAAGTTACGACCTTCCAAGCCTAAATATGATCGAATTTACAGTTTAGATTCAGTTTTGAATAAATTAGAAAGAATGCATCCCTTAAATAACTTTAATTTAGATCAATTAACTACTAAGGTAGTTATTTTTTTATCTTTAATTACTGCTCAACGAAAGCAAACCCTGAGTTTAATTAAAAGAAGTAATATTAAAAAAACAAATAGTGGTTTTGAAATAGAAATTTCGGATTCAATCAAAACATCTAGACCTGGAGCCTCTCAACCCTTTTTAATTTTAAATAAATTTAATGAAAATTCTAAATTATGTGTTGTTTCGGTGTTGGAAGAATATATTAAAGTTACAGAATTATTGATAACTACCGATTTTCTTTTTATTACTATCAAAAGATCTCACAAAGTTGCTTCTAAGGACACTATTAGTCGGTGGATTAGAGCCTTTTTAGTTGAAGGTGGTATTAGTTCTAAATTCACATAACATAGTCTTAGACATGCGTCTACATCTTCAGCAAAGACTAAGGGTGTAGATGTAGAAGTAATTAAAAGTTTAGCCAGTTGGTCTAAGAAATCTAATGTTTTTAATACTTTCTATAATAAATCTATTATAAAGAATAATAATGTTTTTGCAAAAGCGGTGTTATCTTAAATTTAAAATGATTTGAATAATGTAAAACATTGTTTAATAGTACATTTCTCACCTAGGGCAGGAAAATAAGAAATGTCTCAGATTACATGGATTTTCTGGCGTATGGGATATGATGGCCGAGGCGTAGCCTCGGCCATCATATCACATACGTCCGGGCATCTAACATTCTGGTCGTGGGTTGTATACTATTTTTCTTGCTCTCCAGCCGACAGTACGCAACCCCGAGGAAGGGGTTTTGTAAAACCGAGGCGAAGTCGAGGTTTTGCCGGGGGTGAGGGGGGCATCGCCCGACTTTTGCAAAGCCGAGGTTTTGCTGGTCGGGGCAGACAAAATAAACAGTAAAAATTATTAAATAAAAAAAAAAATAAGTTATTTTAAAGTTTACTAACAAATGCTTTGATTACGAGAGATAACATGCACAGAACTCGTCACAAATATTTAAACTCGATTGAATAATAAAATTAATTTTTTTAAGTTGATTAAAAATTAGTTTTCAATTAGACGGCTAAGAAAGATTGAAATTAAATTATTAGAAGCTTGTAGAGTACATGGATTGTTTTATAAACATTGCTTTACTAGCTGTCGAAATATAAAAGAAATCAAATAAAATTTACAAAACTTCTATATTATTTTCTAAAATTTTTGCAGTATTATTATTAAATAGTTCATTAACAATAATCTATTCAGAAATAATTTTGATTTATTTGACATTTTTTGGTTAGTTTCTGCGCTGACACGTTACATACAGACGATGTTGTGACTGTTATATACAGTTGAAATTCGCTGTATAGGCCGGTCGCATCACGAAAATACGAAAGAAAGCGAGGTTCTACGCTGCCGGCCAGAAAATATGCGTAGCGCGCATGCGTTAGAGCAGGCTATAAAAGTTTCTCTTCCTGGAGTAAAGTGCGTCTAGAAAAAGCGTACTTTCGGCTAGGAGAGCACAAAAAATTTTTAGTTTGTAATTAGGGGAGGGTGGGGCAAGACGGCCCACCTAAGCCGGTTTTTATTTTTCGTAGCTTTTTACTATCAAGTGGATCTACTCTGGTCCAACTTTGACTCAATTCATTTTTTTTTTTTCATGGCAAAGTTGTTTCTCACGTCAAAAATGTTTTTATTTATCTCCTGGACAACTGCATTCACTTTTATATTACTCAGAAAAACTATTGTTAACATAATACCAATCGTTCCCCTACTTTTACAGAAAAAAAATTGAGTGTGTCTAAAGTT